GAAAACTGTCAAATCAGAATATGTCAATGGTACTGATGACGCATTCTTCCTTCGTATGTCTTAAATTATCGGATTTCTACTGACAAGGTTATGACGAGATGTTTACTGATCACTTATTCATTTTACCAAGAATACGCGATTCAAATGTGGAATCGTCTTCATTTTGTGGAAAGCATTTTGCTGGATTTTAGGAGATAACAATTCACGATTAGTCTGAGCAGATGCTTGCATCATACAAATCGATTCATATTCATCAAAAAATTCCAAACTGTACGGGTGATTTCATTGACCTCAATCGTTTTGCCCAACATCATAAATGGACCAGTGGGATCAAGCCTTTTTTTAAAGAATGTCTGATCTTCATTGATCAGATCAAATCAACACCATATATCATTACTTTAAAAGGCGTTTGATTCGTTACTTACATCTAAATTATCATCTAAATTACAATCGTATGACATACGAGGTTTTTGTCTAATTGGATCGTACGAACCGTTTTCAATCAGTCCAAGTTGGTGATTCATTCAGTTCATTAGAATGGATGATTCGGAATTGCTGCACTACAAAAAATATGAGACCCGAACTGAGGTTGAATTCGATAATTAGATGTCGAGGCTGGCCAAGTGATCCATTGCTTTTGCAGACTGAACACAATCTGACTCTTAAGGAAGGATTCAAAACGTCACATATCCAAAACGATAACTCATTCGAGAAATGGTTACTTTGCAGTTGATCACAAAAAAACTTTCCTCCTGCGCTCTATCAATATATCAATTCATGAATGACTTTTAGCTTGTATTTTTCGATATTGTCCATCAGTTCATCTCGAACAGGTGCCGTATCTTCCAGTAGTCAATTTCTTTTCACTCCGATAACTTTTAGAAGGATTCAAGCATCTAGTATGTTTGAGTTTAAGTAATCATAAGAAAGTCTACACATTCGCATACAATAAATACATGTGATATTTAAACTTGAATTGAACAAATGTTGCTAAAGCATACATTTATTAGATCATTAAATTAGTGTTTATTTATATGTTTTAAGAAATTCATATGACACGTTCCAGCGATCTTCACAAACCATTATATGCGAACCAGTTCTGTTTAAGCTACTGCAATTCATTTCGAATAAATTAATTAGTAAATGTGGAATGGAATGGTGAATTTTCTCGTTTATTCGACTGTCTATCATTTCTTGCCAATAATGCCCAAAGTTCCGCATTGATCAAGTAACACATGAGGTACTGGAATTCACTGATTAGAGTTTAGTTCAAGAGTTATACTTCAAACACTAGTCCATCTTATATCACTTTTAGAAGCAGGTTCGCTTACGCCATTGACAGCTTATTCGACCTCTGACAGCCTATAATACTAGCAAAAGTTCCAAAATCTGGATACATTTCAATATTTCAATCATTGGATACATTTCAATCTTTTTCTTAGTACTGCAATTACTACCTCTGCACTCCCTTCAAATTTAACCCATATACTTTACAAAAATTACTTTTTCGCCCACAGTCTCGTTTGCTTGCAATTAGAATTATTCATTTGAACTGATTCGGCGGAATCAGCAAGAGAAGACCCGATCATCTTTAATTTTTTTCAAAACTCAGAGTTCAATTTCGTTGTCACCATAATCATCAAAATTATAGACTATAATTTATTTTTACAGCCTTTTCAAAAAATATTTGGATCCTATCGTTACTAATACACCCAGCTTACTTAAATCCTCAAGAGTTTAACTCAATATCATCAGCTGAACTATAATTTTGCAACGATTCATATCCATATGATCATTTCTCTACGATTCCGTTCTGTTCCCTGTGCTCCTTAATTCAAAAGTTCCGAATATTATCTCGTTTACACACTTATCTTCGATATTTAACTGATTTTGTATGAATGAAATAGAACTGAATTGAGCTGTGTTAACATTAAACAAACATCGCAAATAATTTATTGCGAAAACATTTGAACAAAACAAATTAACGTCTTTTGTGTATAAAATCTATACAACTCAAAACAGATGTCCATAACCAAACACTGTACGAACAAACAAATATACGAACAATCAATTAATCATTTGATTAATAACAAAAACTCAACCACAATGAACAATTTTTTCAGATGTCTTTATCATTTTGATCGTTATTCACCGCCCCAGCTTAATGCTGCTTCTTACGGAATGAACATCCCTCGGTCAGGTGAGCTTTACCACCGGTCGGTTGACACAAAACTGTATTGCAGCCGACACATACAACGACTGACTGAGCATGGCTGAATACTGTTGTGATCTTGTAACAACCCGGGCACTTTACATCCATGAAGAATGAGTTCGGTTGTTGTACCAATCGTTTCAACTTGCAACGTTCACGTTCCTGCAATTCTTTTAAAGTCATAAATGGAACGTATCAATGCTCTCAGAATGACATCCATTTCGTACGAATGACGTCTGATATTCGTGAACGTATGAGTGACATCCATTCCACGAATTCTGCTCTCATAAATCTACATATGCCGTTGTTCATATTATGATTTACGTTTCTGTTG